ATTAGGATGTCCTAATGGATAAAGTTGGAAACTTTATACATTAAGACCTTTAGAAGGATCAGATCTAAGCCTTTGAGCTCTGGAGATTATGGGTTAAGTGTTTAACCCATTAAGCTGTTTTAGGATATGGCCACGACACAAATAGATGAGGACTACGACACGGTGGTGGGTTGAAACTCGATTACTCTGTCTTTTAGGCACCACAACGCAACCATGGTGTTGGCCACGATACAATGACTCGACCATTAACTTTGACCGTTGGTCGTTGACTTTTGTCCAGGTTGACTTTTGGTTAACTTGAGGGTTTTAGGTTGTAGACTGAAGGTTGACCTCTAAATAATTTTTAGATGTTTCGTATTACCATCCTTTACTTCTCTATGAGTTATGCTCAACTGAGATGAGTTTCCTCACTATACTATATATTGCAGTATGTATCCTAAAGTGTCGGGATGTGGCTAGATTGTTATATGTTGTTAGGCAGGTAGACTCATAAACTGTTACCTGTAATTTTGATTTGTCTGTTATCTGAATTATGAAGGGTTGAGGCGTCCAACTTTGTGCCGATGACCAATAGTACGTGCGGTACAATTTATGCTAAGGGCCAAGAGAGGTGAGTTTATGGCAAGATCAACATTAAGTGTTTGTGAGTCTAGACATTCACATGGTCAGGTTGACGGTAAGATCAACTAAAGTGTTGTGATCCTAGACATCCGCTGGGTTGGATTAGACCCGTTGCATGTATATTGTTGTATGTAGTATTTTAGGGAACTTACTGAATTTTGGCTTACAATTATGAATTTAAATATTTTAGGTACTTTAGATGATCGTGGGAAAGACGAAAGTGTTACTGCACACACACATCAACAACCTTCTTGTTTTGTGATTTGACATTTATGATTCTACAATGATTTTGGGATGCAAATTGTTGGAACAAATGGTTTTATTAAATAACTCCATGGAAATGATTCCTTTTATCTAAAGAAACAATCAAAAAATTTTGGTTGCGAAAATTGGGACGTTATAGTATTTAGGTGTGCCGATGTTTTTGCCAAGTAAGAGGCACCAGTAAACTTCTTAATTTGTCCATTGAAAGGAATGCCAACACTTAAACCAACTGATGTTTTTGTTTTTAGATGAGAATGAAGGAAATATGCATGTGTGAATCTAACATGAGTTTTCCCTCTCGTGAGTTTAGGGAATATGATTTTTAGTGTGTGACAGACTATTTTAAAAACTGTATCATGCAAAATGACAACGTATGGGAAAACATGGATGAGAAAGTAACATATGTTTATACATTTTGTGTTTGATATTTTTGGGTATAGGATTCTATATTGTGGCGTTCCTCAATTGAGTACAACTAATCATATATATTAATATTATGTAGGCCTGACAATGGAGCGAGTTTTGACCCTGATCCGATCAAAATCCTTAACAATTATACGGGTTTTGAGCATAATTTTTGATCCGTTTACCCGTTAACGACCCGTACCCGCTAACCCTTTTATTAAAAGGGTCGAGTATGGATCATCACCGATCCGTTCCATTTATAACTCACCCCATATAAATTTTAGAATTATACATTTATATTTTATACTACCTAAATTTTACTTTAAATTCCAATCAAAAGTCCAAAAAGAAAAGGCCAAAGACTAAACTATTTATACATTTGACTCGAGGATTTAACTTCTAAACTTTTGGTCTTCTCCCAGGAATCATGATATCATTTCATTTATATTTCATCATGTAATCACCAATTTCATTTATAAATTAATAAATTCATTTATCAACTAGAAGAAATTTTGTAATTGTTATTCTCTATTAATGCAATCAAGGGTCAAAATTGGATGTAACTACAATAATGATTTTAATTCCAATCGAAAGTGTTCGAGTACATAATGTTTTTTCTAAATCACATTAACATTTGTTTTATTTAACAAATGTGATTTTATGATTTAAGTTAAATGTGTTTGATTAGTCAAAAAAACCTACGGGTTACAGGGCGGTTTTGGATATCTGCTGATTCGGTAGATAAAGGTATGAGTTTGATTATTCAAAACCATGCGGGTTATGGAACGGATTTGGATCAGGTTATGGAATTTGTTAAAAGGATTTGGATAAAGGTCGATTCGCTTCAAACCCGCCCTATTGTCAGGTCTAATATTATGACCACAAGATCTATAAATAAGATTTTTAAAAGAGTTAATTTAATTATTAAAAAAGATTAACAACACTGATTATTGTTTGTTTACATACCACATCGATATAAAACTTCTATCGAATCAAGCAATAGAAATTAACTTTAATCGTTTTTGAGAAAATATAAAATATGTGAATAATTCTTTATGTTTTTTTTTTTTTAATAAAAAAAAGACCTAGAGCCGAACTTCCGGACCAGTCAATCTGTAAGGAAGAAACTGACAAGTCTTCGATGGGAAAAAGAATTGCTTTTCATTTTGACCATTTCTGGACCTGCTCAAAACTTTATTTTAGTAATAAGTATTTTTAACCGGTTCATATCGTGATAAAAAGCCATTACAAGAAAACATATTTTCATTCCAATTTAAAGTAACAAACGCAATTCGTCATATATATATATATATATATATATATATATATATATATATATATATATATATATATATATATATATATATATATATATATATATATTGCGAAAATAAAAAAACAGATTTTATCTTATAAAAATAAAACACATGTATTTTAAAAATTAAATTTATTAACAATAAATTAAAGATAATAAATTTAAATTGAAGGGTGTTATGATAATATACATTTAAAGATGGTTTTAATAACCGTTTTTTTTAATGTCCTTAACCACTTTTAAATTCAAGTTTTCGTAATAAAAATGTCAAAAAACATGTTTTGCTAATATAAAATAATTTCTCATCTATCATCGATTATCATTATGTAGTTCAAAGTTTGGATTGATTCTTGTTTAAAATATAAGATTGATGTGACACAATCTCAGAGGTTTTCCTTGTTTTTGCGTTTTCGAAAATTATTTGTATTCTCGAATGAGTCCTTTATATATATATATATATATATATATATATATATATATATATATATATATATATATATATATACACTAGCCGTTACCCGCGCACAGCGGCGGGGACAAATAGCTTCTTTCAATGATATTTTTTTAAAGAAAAATGTTATGTTCCAAAAGAAAATTTATGTCGTGGGTGAGAGGAAGGGCGGTAGTCGTGATAGTGGTTGGTTGAAGGAGGAAGGAGGCAGAGCGGTTGTGGTGGTGGTGGTTATACTGTCTTGGTTACTGGTTAGGGTTCTTCGAGAGAGTGTGCGTATATTTCTTACTTTGAAGGGATTACGAAGATAGATATTATGAGATGACTTGTTACCAATGTGAGAGAAGAGATCCTCTATGAATTGTTGATATTGACCGCTTCAAATGGCTGAAGTGTTGAGATTGACGAGTTCAATTTGCAAATGAATTCTTCTATTAATTTGATACAAGATTTTTAGGGGATAAATGATAGGGTTAAAGTTTTAATATTATTATATTATAAATGGGTTGTACTTCAAGCTTAATAGTTTGAACGTCTTAAAAAAATATTATTATTATATTCGATCTATTTATAGAAATAGTTAGATTTCTTTTATAAGTAGTAAAGATAAAGATATATATATATATATATATATATATATATATATATATATATATATATATATATATATATATATATTAAAGTTCTATTAATTAATATCATCAATTTTTTAGGATCATTAAAATCACTTTTTAAACAATTGTCTTAAAACTTAATTTTTATAAAAAAAAATGTATAAATTCATTATTTTTTTAATCTCTTTCCATATTGATATTTTTAAAAAATTACATAAAATGTACACCATATGCACATTTCATTTGAATTTTTTTTTTTCAACGAATCATCTTCTATAACATCGTGTTAGCCAATCGTGTTAGCCAATTACAGTTTTTGAAGACACCCCACCCAATTGATTTAAGTTTGGAAACTCTATTAACAATTTAACTATAGTATTGGGAGACATTTGTATCAAAAATAAAATATTTTATTTGTTTTTAAGACTTGTAAAGAATAATTTAAAAAGCTTAAAATGTTCCAAAATGTAGTTAACACCACCGCATTCAAATATTGACATTGTCTTATTTATTGTAAGTCTAATATTGTCGGCCCAAAAAAGCTACTCGTGTCTCGTGATAATATCAAACGATGTGATCTCAATATTCTACTACAAAGCAATTGTCTTCATTTGAAATTGCCAGACGACATGAGCAAAAAATATGACTGATCGTAACTTTTCAATTAGAAAGTTTTTTAAGGAAAGATCACTAATCATCTTAAACCTTTCACTCGATTCAGTTTGTTTCCTACATGTACTCATGTAGTCCAAGATACATGAAAGGAAATCAAAACAGACAACACCCCATAATAGAAGCAAACAATCAAATTACTCTTTTGCAACTTAATTTTTAAACGACAAAGAGATAAAAACAAACAATATTCAAACGATGTTTCTAGCATTATTTTGAGACTAATCTCCAATATCGTCATCCCAAAAAAATATAAGTTGGAAAAAACTAACCTATTATTTCCCAATTGAGCTTATTGAACAACGGATTTTGCAATGGCCTCTTCAAATGCAATTAGCAAAGACGAAAAAAAAACGATAACGAGTCACCTTGACAAAAACTACGGTTAATAAAACTTCGGAAGTAGGACTCTCATTAATCAAGATAAGATGATCAACTCAAGAATACCTCACAAATCTATCTATCTACAACTCATTTTCGGTTTCTTTGTAAATATTCTTATCTTTAGGACAATACTTATTAATCTTTGGGCTTAATAAAAGCCCAAATTCTTGTTTAAGACTCATCATCATTTCACCAAGTTTATTTTTTTTCTGCGAATTCCTTTTAAGTTTTAACCATTACAATCATTTAATCAAAACTCATTCGATGCAACCAATTATAAACTCGAATCTTGTGTCTTCTTCATCCCTTTTTCCTCCCTAAACTTCCTATAAACATCACCATTGTAAAACTCTCGTGTTCTAGCCACCAAAACAAGTGTAGCCAAGGCTCCAAAGCAACAAACACCAGCCAACACCATAAACGATCGCCTATAACATTGCTTCCCAATACAAACCAACTCCTTCACCACCGATCTATCCAACCCTCTTCTTTCCAACACCTTCATCGCCTCCCTATCATACATCGGACCTGTCACCCTCACATTCAAAACATACGACCCAAGTGGGCTTCCAAGTTGTGCACAATTGAACAATGTGGTAAAATGCTTTAGTCCAAATAGCTCTGAAACAATCGCAAAAAGAAGGGGAAGTTGTGCACCAAAAGAAAACCCGATGATTATAGACGCGATATAAACAGACCCCGTGAATGGAAAAGCAATAAGAAGGTGGCCCATGCATGAAAGAAGAAGAACTAGTGTCATCATAAGAGGCCTTGGGAATTTGTATGTAACTAAAAGATGTTCCGAAACAAAACCTGCGAAGATTCTTCCGAAATAGTTCCAAATACTTAGGAGTGACACGAATGTGCTTATAGATTTTCTTGGATACCCTAATGATTCGCCGATTTGACCTAGGTTATCGACGGCTGTGAAGCTTGTTCCAAGCCCACAAAAAGTTGCTACGTAAAGAATCGTCATGTCTGTGCTTACAAGTGCTTGTAAGATCGAGTAGTCTTCGCCTCTCTCCGGTTTGTTCAAGAAAATGTATTCGAAACAAGATGGTTTTGATTGTTCTTGTTCTTCATCTTGTTCGTGATCTAAATTTTGTGCTTCGACCTCAGAGACGATGATTGATTCTTGGTTGGTGTTCTTTAAGATGGCTAGTTCTTGTTTAATTGAGATAAAGAGAGGTGAAAAGAGTAAAAAACAGACGGCGGTGGAGCTTCCGGCGTAAGCCACCGGTGAAAAAGTCACGAGCTTTTGAGCTATGGTGATGCCCATGATGAACAACGCTAGAACAATGGATATATACAAGAAATGGTAGAAAACCCTAAGCTCGTTGGATGGTTTTGTTTTTACATCGTTTATCTCTCTGATCGTGTAAACGAAAACCACCGATAAAGCTGCCGGAAGCCATGCAATAAGAAGGATAAGAGCTTTTGAATCATCGCCATACACGGCCAAGTAAATTTGAGCCATTATGGCTCCACTTAATCCGGTGAAGCCTTTTAAAAGACCCAGAACAACCCCTCTATTTTCCAGGAAGTTTCTGAGGGTTGTCACGAGGACGCCGGTGTTCTCGAAGTTCTGAGCATTGGCGGCGATGCACATGTACAGACACATTTGCCAGATACGTGGCTCCGGTAAGCGGTGGGTGACGGAGAGCCATATCATGAAGTACCCGGTGAAGTTCACGGCAGCGCCGATAAGGAGGAGACACCATGTTGGAGTGACTTCGGCGATGAGACCGGAGATGACGCCGATATTGGCACCCAAGTCTTTGAAAAAGCCGATGAGGTTTAGGGTGGTTTGGTCGTAACCGAGGGTGGTTTTAATGTCTTTGGAGTAGATGCCGAAGAGGTAAGTGGCACCGGCGCCGGCCATGATTAGGAAGGAGGCGAAAAGTGAGAACCACCGCCCTTGGATGACTTGGACAGCTAACCGGTAAGATTCACTTCCTCTACCGCCGCCGTTTCGCCGGGCAACGGCGGTGATGGATTTGGACAATACTTTTGGCTCATTCATATTGGCTCCTTCGGTTTTAATTAATCTTATATGTATTATACTCTTACAGAAAACTAAGCTTTGCTAAGGATGAAAACAAAATAATTTCTACTATTATAACTTGCAGGCTTTGAATTTAAAATATCAGAAATATATAAACGATAAAAGATATTATTTTGTTATGCTCGAAAATAAAAAACAATGTTCTTATTTTTGATAATATGATTATAGCAACTAGCATTTGGCAATTAGCAATTTAGCATTGTTAATTTCTAGTTTTTTTTATTAAGATGCCGAAAAGCCCACTAAGATATAAAGAAGCCCAAAAACTTGATACACAATGGGAGGATATCAATTTGGTAAATGGTAATCTTGTGTTGTTTGCCCGTTTTTATTTGAAGAGAGAAAAAAAGAAAATATTAGTTTTAATAAATATCATGTTCTTACGTAGTTGAGTTGAATAACGAAATCAAAGTTTTAGAAATTGTGGGATTATTATGGCTGTTTAAGTAAAACATGGAAGTGGAAACGTAATGTCAAAACCATCATAATATAAAGACAAAACTTTGGTTTTCGAAAATATTAAATTCAATCATTAAGTTTAAAAAACCTCACAGATGATCCTGTAGTTTCAAAACTTTTAACAAACAGTCCATTGGCCACACAAAAAGACTAATATGCCCTTTTTATTTCTTTTTAGAATTAATTTTACCTAATCCTATTTTAAAAAATAAAAAAACAAAATAAATAATTCATTGGGCCCACCTCCCCTCTCTCTCTCTCTCTCTCTCTCTCTCTCTCTCTCTCTCTCTCTCTCTCTCTCTCTCTCTCGTGAAATTCTTTGTCACCTTCTTCTACTTAATCCCCAACACCCTTTGGCTGATAAAAAAACAGGCACTTCATTTACATCAGTTCATAGCCCAAGCCTCTTGATTTTGAAACATCACAACTGCTCCATCACTACTCTACCATAGAACCACCTGTATCAAATATAAATCACCAACGTTGGCCACCGTTTGTCAACTAAGAACCCCAATTTTCCCTCTCTTGCTCCGACAATCAATCCTAAAAGCAATAACACCAGCAGATATCAAGCAAAGGCAGAAATCGAGGGAGGTTCTTCGATCCTCGTCTGATCGAGAAAGGAGAAGCAAGAATGGAAAACAATAGCAGGTGGGGGTGTTCGTGAGGAAAGAATTCGACGAACCAAGGCTACCGCCCTTGTTTCAGTTTCTCTCCTTCCTACCTCATTCTTCCTTATCGATCAACAACTCAAAACATCCCCTCGTTTGCAGTGGTCCTCAATTTTTGCTTTAAGAAAGTGAGAGGAAGAAGAATCGATAAACTAGCGAGTTGTTACAACTCCCCAACCATCCTCACTTGGTTCTCCGCCACCTCCAGCACCTATTCTCTTTGCCTATTGTTGGTGATTTGAAGCCACAACTCCGATGAGTGAGCTATCAGCCGAGAAGGAGCTCATCGGAAAAACCTACTGCTCTTCCCTCTTCCACCATTATAGCCGCCTCCGCCTCTTCCCCCTTATGACTTCTTAACTACTACAGAACCACACTCCACCATCAGAGCTTCCTGATCGCAACATTCCATTCGTGATTTCAGCTTCTCCGAACAGACGAAGATGGAGACATGTACCCTTAGCTCTCAACCGGAGATGATGCAAGTTAAAGCCTTAGAGGGTTGCCGGAGATCGACAACTCTGTCTCTCCTCGCGATTTGAATAACTACCATCGGAACTTCTCATCGCTTTCGATTTCTTCGTTCCTCTAATTCCCCAATTAGATGAAGAAGACGATGTGCATTTTTTATGTTTAGAGAGAGAGAGAGAGAGAAGGTGGGCCCAATGAATTATTTATTTTGTCTTTTTATTTTTTTTAAATAGGATTAGGTAAAATTAATTCTAAAAAGAAATAGAAAGGGCATATTAGTCTTTTTATGTGGCTAAGGGATTGTTTGTTAAAAGTTTTTGAAACCACAGGGACTATCTGTGAGAGTTTTTGAACTTAGGGATTAAACTTGATATTTTCGAAAACCACAGGGACCATTTTTGAACTTTTATCTAATATAAATACACCACGGATCAATGTACAACGAAACTTGTAATAAAACAAACAAATAAGAAGGGAAGAAAGATTATCGTACAATAGCTTGGAGGATGAGCTAGAGAAATCTAATGAGAGTTCCTTTATCATTGTCTAACCTCAAAGCAACAATTTGGCCCTTGTGGATGCTAGTTACTTCAATAATATATATTGGCTTCTTCTTGTTCCTAAATTTGACACACAAAAACGATTTCTTCCAAGCCGAGGCACCAAACCCTAGTGTGTGTGCGTGTGTGTTTAGTGGCCGAGAGCAATGAAAAAACTAAGAGAGGTAGCAAGTGATCAAGGAAAAAAAAACTTAATCTATGTAGTATTTGGTAAGGGAGTTGAATCCACAAAGAGTTCATGTTCAAACTATATGCTCAAAATAACATATAAACTAAATTACGAATTGAAAATATGTCACTAAACTATTTTAAATTACATTAAATAAAAACTTCAAAGCTTTAATTATGAAAAAAAAGATACTTCAAACTAAAATTGATTAATGAGAGCAAACAATATCACTTTTGTTAATTAGAATTGCCACACTTATCTTTTCTCAAAGACCTCGACTTAATTTCATAGACATAATTTAGGTTAATGATGCAAATTTATATTTTGGGCACCCAATATTTTGATCTAACTATTTTAGTCATATGTCTATTGGATTATTTTGATCTAACTATTTTAGTCATATGTCTATTGGATTAGGCACAACTAGTAGTTTGAAATATCGTGTTTTGATTCAGCTAACCATTTGAATTTCTACACCAATTAAACTTAGAACTATTGAGTGGATTGACAATATGATATCTTAGTTAAAATAACAAACATGATGTAAAATACAAAATCAAGTATTATCATCCAAATGATTAACACAAAAAGAAATAATAATATTAGGAATTGTTCGAAATGAAAGTAGTAATCAAAATGTGTTCGTCCTCACATCATACAACATTACCGAAAGTAATATTGAAGAACTTAGCCTTCCATCTTGATGAAAAAAATGCGACAATATAACGCGGTGCAAAAGATTTGGCAAACATAATGCAAAAATATATAAAAAAGAAAAGTCCAATAACTTAACAATTTAATACATGTAAACAGTAACTTTTTTTTGAAACCAACAAATATATAAAAGAAAAGTACAAATCTAGCATGAAGTTAGAGAAGGAACGATACGATGTTCAAGGATTACATATGACAACTTAAGTACATAGAAAGTGATCAATACACCAAGTCCAATTCTCATTCCCTCCTGAAGTTCTTCTGAATTTGACAAAGTGAACACCATCAACTTTACCATGTATCCCACCTTAGTGGGTGATATTTGTCAACTGTAAAAGACTTTTTCATTTATTGCTTTACAAATAATCCAAAGAGTCCCCCATCTTGTAAAATTCGTCTCTTCTTAGGGCAATTTCCCCATCCTGCTACAAAATTAAGAACCTCCACATCCTGCTACAAAATCCTCATCCTATAAGATTCGTCTCTTCTCTATAGCCTGTAAGATTCGTCACTTTTTAGGGCAATTTCCTCATCCTGCTACAAAATCAAGAATATCCACAGTTATATTGAACTGGTTTGTATGGATTCCGCACCACTTGAAGACACACTCCATTACTACTCTAGAAAATGAACATTAAACAAGGATATGGTCTCCACATTCCTCTTCATGATTACAATACCCGAAAATAGTGGATTCCAGGCGCACCCTGTAACAACCGTTTTCTAGGATGGGTCGTGTGACATCCCGTTTATAATAAGATAATTAAATAATTAACCAGAGACCCCGAGAAGTAACTGTATTATTATTTTATATTATTATTTCTTTTTCCAAAATCAAATAATTAGTGGGATGTTGGTTTCAGGAAAGCCATATGACAAGATCTGAACCTTTAGGGGTTAAAGTGTAATTGTGGAACTTAATTTGTAAAGATTTTTATAAGTCAAGGGGTGCATGGTAGTATTTGGACTTAATATGTAAGAATTTATGAAAATGGGGGTTAAAAAGTAAATTATGGACCTAAGATGAAAGGATTTTGGAGAGGCGGGGTCTAATGGGTAAATTTGGGATTTGTCTTGAAAAGAATAATGCAAGGAGGGACCATTTGTGTTATTATGGGAAAAACTAGTGGAGCCGGGTATATATGCCTCATTATCATCAAACCCAAACCCTAACCATTCTAACTTCGCCACCCTCCTTTTTCTCCAACCTCCATCTAGCCTCCATCTGAAGCATCTTCAGTCGTCGGGGTCGCTGGAGGAAACCACCAAGACTGTTGCTATATTGGGTAGGACTGATCGATGGTGCTATTCGAGCCTCGTCATTGCCACTGACTCCATTCCGTTGTTTCACCAATTGGTTGTTGTGGTCTCCGTTCCTACGACCTCCAATCTTCCCCATCGCCTCCTTCCATGGATGTCGGCGAGCTTGCTACCATGGATGTTGATGTCAGAGCTACCGATGGGGACTCAAGCAGGCATTTCTTCGTCAACGTTGTTGCTGTTGTACTCGGTGGTTCGAACCGCATTCTCCTCTCCTCTCCATTTTATTTGTTGATACGTCGCCACCATCGCTCTTTGAGCCTTAAGACCACCGGAAAATAATCGGGGACGTCTCTCTGCCGACAAAGACTAAATGCCACTGCTACAAACATTAGTGTTGTTGCTGCTGCCGTTATTTTCTGCCACGGGTGGGTGGCTACATCTATTTTGGGTATGTAAAGTCGGGTGCTATTGTGATTATCGTTTTTGGAGCATTTTTGTTGACCGGAAAACCCAAGGGAACCACCATGGCTGCCAACCGTGGTAGCTGACACTGCTAGCTCTTTTCTGCAGCCCTTAATCGCTATGTATGGGTGTTCATGAGTGGGATTCAGTGTTTGTGTGCGTGTGTTTCACGTGTAAGGGTTGTGAGAT